CACTCTTTCATTGTTTTAAACCTTAACTTTTTAAAAAAAAAAAATCTGAAGACTTTACAAAAATGAAAATCCTACATTCCTTTATCCCTTTAAACTCTGTATGTACTATACTGTATATAATATATGTTTCTGTTAAAGTTTGTTGATCATCCATCAGAGCGGCTGAAATGGACAATCCTGGAGAAAGCCTGGTTTTTTAAATATATAAAGATTCTCCTAAAGAGGGGTTTTAAAAAAATCTTGGTTGTTTTTCTCGAGAAACTCTTGAACTGAATCCATGTCTCCATTTGCTCCCTAGGAGGGAACTTCAAAGTTTGCCAGTCCAGAGAGTTGTGCCAAGGAGCATCAGAAACGCACCCAAAAAAGACTGCAGCTGCAGAGGGAGATGGTGAGACGGAGATTAAACAAATGGACATTTTGAAGTGTCACCATGTCTGAAACCGAGGATTTGTAACTTCAAACAACACGTGGCGCCTAAGTGATGTACTCTAAAGTACAGCCTTGATCCTGAACGCACTCCACTTTGTTTACTGTGTAATGCATTTGAGTTTTACAAACCGTTCCCTCGGCATCTGCGAGGAATAAATCAGCTCTTTTTTTTTTTTTCTTCTTTTTTACGGCATCTCGTCCATTTCCTTGGTTGTAACTGTATTTGAACATGTCTGGGTTCACAGGGAGCCATGCAAGGAACGATACCATACTTGGGAACTTTCCTAACTGACCTCACCATGTTGGATACGGCCCTGCCCGACCTAGCCGAGGTAAATATAACCCACGTAATAACCGCTTCTGCGTACGTCAAAAGATCAAAGGCAAAATGTTATAATTATGAAGGAAGTCTGTTTTTATTGAGGGATTTAAGACAGGACACTCAAGCATCTTCCACAGCTTTGACCATTTTTATCATTGCATTACTTTTTTTACAATGTCCTCGACCAATCACATTTCATGGTTATGTCGCCGTCTCCCACAAATTTATTAAAGTCTTGGGCAATCATCCCGATGTAGGGTGTTTAAAGTCTATACATGCACGGAAGACCACTTTGTTTACATTTGTTTACGCCATACATTGGATTGTGCTACATTCACTTCCTTTCGTTTGTGTTGGGTTTTTTTTGCCCTTTATGTCCTAGATTATTATGTTTGCTTAGTCATTTCCATAGTGTAGCAGTTAGCATGCGTGCCTCCAAAGCTCAGAGCGAGAGTGTCGAGGGTTCGATTCCCAGCAGATCTACAGTTAACACAAGAATTTCACAAATATGGGATTAATAAAGGAAAAATATTATTATTATCATTGGTGTGGAACCCCAGGGGTTCACCTCCTGGGCAAGATCAAATCCCGGTTAGGGCGGTTGTTACTGAAACAAACTTGTTCATATTATTGAAGTCTTAGCAAAAGATTTTTTTAACCAAAATCTAAAAAAAAAGCCCATTTAAATAGAACTGAAAATTCAGTCGGTGCAAAGAAGCGGGTTATGACTCGGTTTAAAAAATATCTCTCCCAGAATTCTACAAAAAAGGAGTTCTTTGATGGATACACAACTCGATTGAAATTGTAGATATGTCCAGAAAGACTTTTGCTATTTAGTTTTCATAATTAAAGATTTTTTTTTTTTTCATCGTGTTAGAACTTCTGAACTTTTCTGTTAGGAACCACTGCTGTTTGTCCCTAAGGCCATAGTGTGATTGATATCCAGTGTTTGACAGAATTTGTTTTTGTCTTCTCCTCCAGGGTGGACTTATTAATTTTGAAAAGAGACGCAGGGTGAGTTTAGCCGCCCGTCCTTCCGTTAACATGTTTCACCTCATCGGTTAACAAAAGAATGACCTCAGCTGACATGTGACCCACTTTTCTTTTTCTTTTCTTTTTTCCGCTCCCCTTTCTCCCTCCACAGGAATTTGAGGTGATCGCTCAGATCAAGCTGCTGCAGTCGGCCTGTAACAGCTACTGTCTGACCCCAGACCCCTCATTTCTACACTGGTTCAAGAGCCAGCCTCAGCTGAGTGAAGAGGAAAGGTACTGCACCGCACCGCTTTCCATTAGATAACAAGTGGATTAGTGTTCAGCGTTACGGTCTGTTGAATCCATTGAAGACAGCTTTGCACGCTTTCTCTTTTCTTCTTGACTTTCTTCTTTGTTCTCGTCGCTCCTCCTGTGTCTTTCCTTCCCTGTTTGTCCATAAATCCCTATTTTGATGTTTGTTTGTTTTTCTCGCTTCTTGTATAACTGCCGTATTTTCCGGAGTATAAGTCACACTTTTTTTTTAGTTTGCATCTTTACTGAAACTTTAAATATTTAGTTTTGATACATTTGAATATTAAAGTTTGGAACATAATTTATACAGTTATTAAATTTTAACAATAAAGACTTTTGTGTGGTGATTATGTTTTTTTGCTTTTTTTTTTTTATCTCAGTGTGTTGTCTCATTATCAATGAAATGTTTCTGTTACTTGTAGCTACGCTTTGTCCTGCGAGGTTGAAGGTCTTGGCGACAGCAGTCCTACGTCACCGAAACCTCGAAAGAGTATGGTGAAGAGACTCAGCCTGTGAGTATATTTATAAAGAAATGAAGTTTATCAAAACCTCAGTGAAGGAGGTTCAAGTAAATACATCACAGCTGTGTCTCTAGAAACTTTTCCTTCAAGGTCGAGACTCTTTGACATTTTTCATTCACTTTTTCCCCTTCAGGCTGTTCCTTGGGACAGACAGTAACTCTGCCAGTTCTCCAGTCAGAGAGCTGCCAAGGTCGCCTCCTATCGGCAGCTCCGGGGAGAGCATGGACTCTGTCAGTGTGTCCTCCAGTGACTCCAGCAGCCCGTCAGACAGTGAAGTACTAACTGCCCTGACTCACAACTCGGAGTCCCAGCCAAACAAGGTTGGTTCATACATTTAGAAGCTGCTGAATTATTGATGAAACAACAACAGTAGATCTTTTTACTGTTTTATCTGCTCAACTAACTGCTCAAGCTCAACTAACTAATGGAAGCAAATTAAAATAATATTTTAAATAAATTAAAAAATATGCTTTGAATTAGCTGTGTTATATTGATGGAATTAATGAGAGAGTAGTAGTAGTAGTAGTAGTAGTAGTAGTGGTAGTAGTAATAGTACTGTTAGAATGCCTATCTTGCAAGTAAAAGCAGAAAGTCCTGGGTTCGATTCCCAGAAAAACCACATCTCCCTTATGCCGCCTCCTGTGTCAGACTGTGAGTTGCAACCATGTACTTTACAGCGCCTCCTGTGGCGGACTGTGTTGGTTGCAAACACACTAAGTTGTTCGACAATTAAGGGACTCAATTATGAATTGCTA